TGTCCTGGGTAGGTGTCCTGAGGTGTTTCTTATTGGTCCTTGTTAACCCCTTCCTGTGATTGGGTGCTCCTGTAAGCCCCTTGAGACTTCTAATTGGTTACTCTGTGAATCCTCCTAAACCCTATAAATGTAACATCCCCCACAATAAACTTTCTCTTGCCTCCTCTCCACGCCCCGTGTCCTGTCTCCGTGCCAGCCATGGGGCCACGTGCGGGGGGGGGAGGGGAGGGCACCTCTCCCCTCCAGGCTCAGGGACAGAAGAGACCCCTGAAGAAACCCCTGGAGTTCCCTTTCCCCATCCTTCAAGGTGTCGGAATGGTTGCTCAGATGGAAATGGAACTAGAACTGGGCCGCCCCACGTCGTGGGTGGGGAAAGGGATCCGGAGGTTTCTTGGTAGGAGTGCCACGGTGGTGCTTTAACGGTTGTGCATTTGTTGCGTGTTGGTTGAGGTGGTGGTGCTGGAAGAGGCACTTTCACTTCCACCTCACGGCAGGAGTAAGCTGGCTGTGTCCATGTTGCTGCGTGGTCGTTCTGCAGCGGTCTCATGGCCGCTGCACAGCTAAAGGGAGTTAGCGGACCCCCCGACCCCCGTAATAGCAGTCTGTCCGTTTCCCCCCCGCCGCACTCCGTTCCGCCCCCTGGTTCGGGACTGCCCGTGAGCGGTGCGGCCACCGATCCGGCCTCCCCCGCTGCCGCTCCGCTCGACCCGGCGCCCAGTGCGGGGGGTGCAGCGAACGGAGCTCTCCCGGACCCCGCGGCACCCCCCGCCATGCCGCATCCCGCCGCTGCTGCGCCCGAGGGGGAGGGCGCTGCCGCAAGTGGCATGGCGGGTCCGGGTGCCAGCGGCGCAGGGACAGCCATGAATGGGGCGGCGGGACGACCGGCATACGCCACGGCTGAAACCCTGGCTGCCGACCGCGTGCCACCCGTTGCCGCGGCTCCTGTTGCCGCGGCTTCAGGGGCGGACAGCACGGCCGCGGGTGGCTCTGCCATGGATCCGGCTGTCGGCAGCGGAGTCTCACCTCATTCTCCTCGGGATTATATGAGGGAGGATTTGGAATTATATTACTTGAAAGATTTTCTAAAGGATCTCACTCAGAACCCTTCTTCTTTTGTCTGACCACTTTGGTCATTACTTTGGTCACTACTAACTGCACGAACTGGGAATAGTCTGCTTCTACCCAGCAAGCAGCATATGCACTTTCCTCCACACTCCACAATTCCTTCCCATTCACATGAATATTTCCTTACCCCGAGTCTCTTTCAACTCATCCCAAATATCCAGCATCCTACCCCCTGGACTATCTGGGGGGATGCCTAGAGTCTTCCCTGACCCTTTCTTCCCTGGAGACCTCTTACTTTTCCCGGCCCCCATCCTGAGGATTGAGCACACACACGCTGATATGGTCCTCCCTTAGCACACACACACACTCTCTACACCTTCGAACCTCCTTTTCCACTGGAGTCACCCGAAAACCGTTTTCCTAAACTGGAATCACCCAGACACCTTTTTTCTTAACCGGAACCACCCAAAAACCTTCTTTCTCAACCGGAACCACCCAAAAGATTTCTTACTTAAGTCATAGCCACCCGTAGTCCTCCACCCCAAGGAGTACTGCACTCTTGCTCCACAACAACCACTTCGTCCTTTCGCTGGCCAGTCCCCTTGTGGGGATATGGAAACGTGGCTAGAAGGACCCCTCACTCATTTGGTACTTTTTGGTACATCTCAGCCATACACACGCACACTCCTCTGACCCAATCGCCCAGTAGTATTTCGAGAATAGCCCTTCTCTTTTCTTACCAGGTCCCATGCATGAGGTTTGACGGTTGCTACGGATTAATTTCTTTACTGCATCCGGTTGCCTTTCTTCCCCCTGTCTTTGTTTCACACCGTCTGTCCTCAGGTTCTCAGTCACTGCCGTCCCAGAAGAGGGCCCAGGCCTCTGGACTGCTGAAATCAGCGAGCCGTGCCTTCCAGGTTCACTGGCCCCTCAACCGGACCGACGGACATTGAATTGCGGACAAGCCCCCAATCTGTGAGAAATATCTCTATTTGATCTCTATGATCAGGTGACCCTCCTGGTGGATGAGGGGAAGGCTGTAGATTTGGTCTACCTGGACCTCCACCCACAGCCCCTAACACGCTCACACACACTAATACTTGACTCAGAAAGAGTCTCGTTGGACAGGAACCAGCCAACCCTGCCACCCCAAGCAGTGCCACCCCTGCCACCTTCTGGGTGACTCTTCCCAGTTTATGTGCTGGACGTGATGTTCCACGGCATGGGATATTCCTTTGGCATATTCAAGTCAGCTCTCCTGGCTGTGCTCCCTCCCAGCTTCTTGTGCACCAGCTCTCTGGCAGAGCATGAAATACTGCAGGCTCCTTGAGTGGGTAAGCACCACCAAGCAGATACTAAACCATCAGTGTGTTATCAGTGTCATTCTCACACTGAATCCAAAACACAGCACTGTACCAGCTACTAAGAAGTAGATTAACTCCATCCCATCCAAAACCAGGTGCATCACAATGACACAATGGACAGAACATGAGAATCAACAAAAGCACGGGGAGGCAGCTATACTCTGTAGCCTGCCCCCCCCAGCAACAAGCGACGCAACCCTAGAAGTTAAATAGGTCCCGCTTTTCCAGCAACAAGCGACGCAGCCCTACAAGCTCAATAGGTCTTGCTTTTCTAGCAAAAAACAGCAGTGCACTCCACAGGCTAATGCACCCCACCTGCGGATCCTGCTTTGTCCTTGGCAATGGCGCGTTTTGTGTTCAATATCTCATCCTTGTTGCCAAAAATGTAATAGAGAGAGTTCAGAGGATACTGAAACTGAAACCATAACACCGTTGAAAGCTCAACAAAAACTGATATTTATTCCCAAGAGGTGGTCAACAAAACGAACAAACTGGAAAGGAAGGAGGAGGAAAATAAGCCCTCGGTACGACTCCCCAGTTACCCAGGTGTTGCTTATAAAGTTATCTTACTGACCCAGTGTGGGAGGCGTGTCTAAGGGCACAAAGGATGTGCTGAGTAACAGAGCCCAAGAGAGTATGCCCTGACATAAGTAACCTGGTTGGTTAAAGAAGTCACATGGTGTTAAGGAATAAAACCGCGCCAAGTTTGAAATGAAACCTCTTTGTCCACACCACCACGAGGAGCATCATTATTCCTTGTTATACAAGGACCGCATCTGCTACATATGGTGCCCGAACAGGGACATTTTAGCTTATATTAAGCCAATTACCATGGACTCTTTTAGCTTATATTAAGCCAGATATCTGTCCTGAATCAGGAAATCAGCCGGTGACTCCGTGATCGTCTCAATTCTCGGAGATGGGAGCCTTTACCGCAAAAAACCTTGACGTCAGTAAAGCCGTGGTCTCAGTGGCATCTGAGAAACAGAAAGTTAGTTTAGGAGCTCCAAAAATATTAGGAAAGTGCACAAGAGAAGAGAAGAAAGAAGTTGAAGAAGAAACCGAGAGGTTGAGCAGCAACCGGAAAGAGCAGAGGGTCCACACAACATCAAAAGTGGTGAGTCCAGCTGGAAGGCACCCTGCACGCCTAAGACTGCTCCCTGAACAGCAGCGTGCCTGCAGCTCGGAGACCCGGGCCGCGGAGCACCTTAAGATCGTCAGGGAAAAGCCTGTTGGTCCCCGTGTGTCGACCATCTGGTAAAAACGGCCTTGCCGCTGCTGACTGCTGCAGCAGGACCACGTGCGAGAAGCAGCTTTGCCGCTGCCGCATCTTAACACCCCCCAGCCACCGCTGACCCCCTGTCCAGCAGAAACTGCCGCGGCTCCCCGCCTGCTCACCACCGCTGACTGACCCTGCGGGTGTGCTTAAAAAGCACAGCCGCAAAAAAGCCCCCGCGCCGCATTCAAATCGCGCGGGCTTTACCAAAGGCGCCGCGCCTTCCTGATACAGCGCACCCCGACCCCCGCACCGCCCAGCGAACTGCGGGAGCCCCGGAGCCGCCGCTGCCGTGCCGAACCGCCACCGCCGCGAACGCCGTGCTCGCCAGAGACGGAGCCGGACTCGCGCCGAGCCGCCGCGGCATGACTGAGACACCGCCGCCAGCGCCGCTTCTGCCGTTCGCCACTTCAGCAGCCCGCACACGCCGATCGCCTGCACCCCCAAGCACCGCTTCTGCAGCCAGCCCCGCGCCTGTCGCTACAGCTGCCCTGTACCTGCCGCTGCCCCACGCCGCCGCTCGCAGCCTGCACCGGGACACCAGCCATGCACCGAGGACACCCGCCGATCCTGCCCCGCGCCGAGCCGCCGCCGCGCGCCCCTCCACGCCACAGCCGCAACAGACCCGGACCCCCGCAGAGACGCCAAGAGAAAAAAACCGCAGAGAAAAGACTGCCAGATAAACAAAACTGCTACACAAAGGACTCAAAACACGTGTGTTCCCAGCCGCTCGTAGATAAGGTAAACACAAACACTTGTTTCCATAGAAACCTCATGATACATTGAAACGAAACACAGACACAGGCGATTGCCAGTTTTTGCAATATAAAGCAGTTTACTCGGTTATAAACTCTGCCTGCACAAAGCACACAGGGAAAAAAAAAACCCCCACACCGCACCCCCTGCACACACTGCTGGTAGCAGCACAACACAACATAGTAACAGAAACTCAGAGAACATACCGGGGAAAGGGACGGGAGCTGGGAGAGCACAGTTGCTGGGAAGGGACAGAATTGCCATGCAAGCTCCTGGCCTATGGGCCCACAGCAAGCAATTCTGTTACAGCGATGGGGGGGCTAATTCAGCGTACCTACCCCACTTCGCTGCGGATGACCAGTGACCACGTGGCCCGGTGTGGCCCCTCACAGCCCAAACCCTGACCTTTCTGTTCCGGCCCAGGTGCAGCCCCACCCCACCCACAGACACGAGGAGGGAGGCAACCCCGCCCCCTACTCGCTGCCTGTACCGCCCACCACCCCCCAACAGGGAACCGGTCTCACCAGGGCTACAACGGGGGAGAACTGGGAGGGATGGGGGGAGGGGGAGAAGGAAGGGGAGAAAGAACAAAACATGATTCCAATGGGAGGGATCAAAAGGGCAAATGGGGAGAAGTCAGCTAACATGTGGGAACAATGTCTAGACAAGGCAATTCGTATGGAAAGCCTGAATGTTAATCAGGCATGCCCAGACGATATTAGCCAAAGCCAGTCCCCTCAGAGTCAAACCCTGTATAGGGCCACAGAGAACCTGAGGCATTTGATAAGAGGTTCTGGTCTGTCTTTAACCAATATTTTCAAATATTTGGAGGCATTGAGTTACATCTATCTTTTCACCACATATGACTGGGAAGAATTAGTAAAATTAGTTCTCAGTGACACCCAATATACAGTTTGGTTAACTGATTTTCAGAAAAATTGCTCTATTCATATTAAATACCCACAGGCAGGCATCACGGCACACCAATTAAGCAGAGAAGAAAATTATAATCTAGATCCACAATCAAAGTACCATAGAGAGATAGCCAAGCAAGCCCTAAAAGCTATGGAAAGCATTCTCACTGCAGATCAAGATGATCATCTGTCCCCCATTAAAGGGTTACAAAGTTATACTGAGTTAAATTTAAGATGTGTAGACCAGCTGCAGTCTGCTTTGAACAAGCAAATTGAATACAATGAAGCCAGAGAGATGCTGTACAAGCATTTGGCTTTTGAAAGAGAAAATGCAAACTGTGAAGGAGTTTTGCAGAGCCCTCCTGCAAGGGAGAACTGTGACTTTATTGAGCTGGTACAACCCTACCAAAAGGCTAGCTCTGAGAAGCAGCTACCTGCCTCTTTAGCTGCAGCTTTAGATGCCCAGATAAGAGTACAGAAAGAAGTCAGACACACAGCTAGTTGTATTAGTTGTGAAGAAATAGGTCACTCTCAGGAAGATTGTCCTTGGAAGCCCCTAGTAGCAACATTCCATAAACACCCTAACAGCAGAGAAATGACTGAGTTATACCAAAGGTGCCATAAGCAAGGCAAAAGATGTGCTACAGGCATCATACTGCTTGTAGGAGCCCTGCTTGCTGTAATCCTTTGTGGTACTACTTTTCATGTGCAAGAAAAGAAACAAATTAAGGCAAGCCACAATATGCCAATAACCAGTCCCCAAAATACCCGTGTACCCTGTACCCCAAAGAAAGGTGACAGGTGGAAAACATTGCAAATGTTAAGAGCAGAACGTGCAGTCAAAAAACATGCAGAAACCTTGCAAATCGGACTGCCCCTACCTATAAGGCTTCTAGCAAATTGGCCACGAGTGGTAACTGATTCAAAAAACCATTCCTTTACCATTCTCCTTCACCCGGCAGGTGCCCAGAAACCTTTCTTTCCCATCATGGTTTTAAACAGTGCACAATCTATGCAAAGTCACTGCTGGGCTGCCCTTCCTCAGGGAATGCAAAATACCTCGATAAAGTATCAGACAGCCATAATACATCATTATGCAGATGACACATTAATAACCACGGCCACAAGAAATGAACTGCCATTTGTTCCTGCTGCTTTAACCAAAACCACCCAAGATGCAGATCTTCAGGTTGTTTCAGGAGGAATTCAACAACCACAACTCTGGACTTGCCCAGGACGAGAGAACACAGCAAAAAAGTTCTACACAGCTGACACAACTCGAGGTAAAAAACATTTATATTTACAGGAGTTGCAGAAGCCTCAGAAAGCTACCAATTGCTTAAAACCTGTTTTAACCATAACCATAGGGGATCTATACCCTCTCTTTATGTTGCTAAGGGAGAACTTCAATTTAAAGTCTGACAAATCGTTAGCTGCAGAGGCAAACCAAATGTTAGAGAATTATACCAAGGTGATAAAAGGCAAACAGAACAACAGAGATGCTGAAAGGCAATTCTGCCTAGTTCTTGTTTCCAGCAGGTATGAAGCATTGCAGTTTGTTTCAGTGGGATCAAACTGAGAGAAGCCCACTGTTGGTTATAGAACAGCTTTTTCTGTCATACCACACCACCTAAAATCTGTGTAAACTGCTAATATGTTTGCAAGCTTGTCATTTAGGGCAGAGCACGACGGAGAGAACTGGACAGAAGAAATCCTACCTTTACCAACATTCCAGCTTTGAAAGACAATTTGGATAGGATGACAGCTGAGGATGCCGGATTTTAAGATGCCCTGGCAAGTTTTAGTGGTAATATTTTAATTCATCTCCTTAAGCACAGATTGTGGCAGAAATCAGCAATTTGCCTTTAAAAACCACACCAGATGCAAAACTGAACCAGTGAAAGGCCTCAGGGCCTTCACACATGCATCTAGAAAACCACAAAATGCTGCAATGACTTGAATAAATCCTGCCACTGATCAGTAGGAAAATTACAGACCATGAACCAAGCTTCTGTATAGTTCTGGAACTGATTGTCATTCATATTACCTTGAAAAGTTTTTAAACAATCCTCGAGTGTTATGATTGTGCTTATTATGCTATAAGGTTAATATCCCGTCTTGAAAGTTAATTTCCTTGAGATATTGTTAACCCTTACCTGTTGTTTGAAATGCGTTCTGTTTGGTTCCTGTGAGTTACAGAAGGTATGATTTCTATATATATGTACACAAATCACATCCTGACATGCCACAGACAATGACTGACAGTAACTAAGAAGCTGCTAAAGCAGCAATGTTTAACACTATACCCAGAGTTTTAAGGCAAGCAATTGTCTCATTCATTACATCAGAATACAGGTTCTCTAAAGAGACCATTCAAAACAATTAATAAAAACTACATCATCAAGGTATGCTCACACTGTCAGGAAATCACGCTTATGCTGTCCTTATGCCTCTCAGAAAGCATTAACCCTAGCTGGTTAATGGCAAGTGAGATCTAGCAAACAGATATGTACATATCTGAATTAGACGTGTTGAAAATGTACATGCAAATAGATACACATCCACAAAGCATAACTGCTACTACATCCACTAGATAAAACACAAGGGTGTAAAACACGAGTTAGTTGCTTAGCAACCTTGATACACTAAAATGGATTAACATTAATAATAACCAGATACTTCCTATCAAATAGGAAAATTCTCATGTCACGAGCATTCCACATTAAACCATAAAACAGCAAAAGCACATCACATTTTGAAACACATGCTAAATTTAAACAAAAGGGGGGAGAACCAGTGTAACCTGTAAGAACATCTGTAAAAAGCTATGTATGTTATCAATTTTTGAGTTGTGACAGTGCTGAAAGAAGCAGGTCTGAAAAGCAGCACACACCTCAAGCATTTGTTTCTCCCAAACTACTAATCATGGTAAGAATTGATTTCAGGACATTGGACGAGATCCCTAGATTTTGTGACTCAAACAGAATTCTCCCAAGTGTGTAAAACCCTATTCAAATATGTGACCACAGCAGCAGGAACCAGAGCAACGCAGAAGTTTGAAAAGAGTTATGTTATGTTTCAAGTTTACATTAGAAAATGACCAACGTGGTGAAAGCAGTCTCTGAAATGTGCATGTGTGTGTGTGTTCGTGTGTGTGTTCAGTGTACGGTGGCCACCGATGAATGAGATGAGTGAATGAATGAAAATAGTTGTTTGACTAGTCAAATAATGAAAAACAAAACACCTCACAAAATAACATTACCTCAGCCACAGGTCGCTTTTAAGAAATTGAAGTTTGCTAAGATTACCCTGTTTCTTAAATAAAGTTAAATCTCCCAGTTATAAAAACCCTCAGATTAAAAAAGTTGTAGTTTACACACAGTTAAGATAAGTCCAAGTTAATAAAGTTATCTCTCCAAGTTGCACTACCCTATAGGAATATAAGAAGGTTTTAAAAATGTTTACAATAGAAGTATAAGTAATCAAGCAAGCAATGTGCTGGATCACTGCGAAACTTGGTAACTTATAATGTTTTGATCGTTTGAATTGTTGTTTGCATTTTTGTTTACACTGTTATCGTGACTTCTTTTAGATATTTAGGAGGGGGGTGATGTGGGAGGCGTGTCTAAGGGCACAAAGGATGTGCTGAGTAACAGAGCCCAAGAGAGCATGCCCCGACATAAGTAACCTGGTTGGTTAAAGAAGTCACATGGTGTTAAGGAATAAAACCGCGCCGAGTTTGAAATAAAGCCTCTTTGTCCACACCACCACGAGGAGCATCATTATTCCTTGTTATACAAGGACCGCATCTGCTACAACCCAGAATGCCTAGAATTACCCATAGCAGAAGCTGCATTCCCGGAGAGTCGGCAGGCTCACAAAATAACAGGCATCCCCGCAAAAGGCAATGTTGTCCTTGATGTGAAGCTTGTTCCCCCCTCCAACAAGAGCTAACTGCTTTTATACAATTAACTGAGTGATGTCTACCTAGGCAGGTGTGGCCAGCACCGCCCAGCCAGAGGTCCTCAGTCCCTCCCTTTATTATGCAAGTCAACTAATTTGAGTTTATACCAGATGCTTACTTCAAGGATGAAGTTCTCGTCTATCAGTGCTTGTTTTCTCATTACTTGGCAGGGAAAGAACTAAACTTTTACAGGTGTCTGGGCCAAACACAGACCAAAGTATCAACATCCCTGATAGAAGGTCAACCCACCACAGGAGTATTAATACGTGTGTGTTAGCAGTAGGGATCAGTTGGAGCTGGGAATGAATAATTTGTATATACTGGTAGTTTTCAGGCATTGACTTCCTAAGTTCAACCAGAAGAGTTATGAGGGTTGTATTCCATATACCATTATTTAAATCTTGCATTTTGGACTCTGGAGGTGCTCCAGTCTAAAAGTTTGTGTACATTGACTGGAGGGAAAAGGTATATCTCTCCTCTGGTTCTATGTGAAGTAATCCCAGACTCAGAAGTATAGCTGTGTCAACTTCTGGCAAGGCCCAGTGAAGCTCTTGTCAGAACTTATAGTTTAGGCCACACACTGTGCCAACATGGGTTTGTTGGTTTTGGATTCACGTTGGTTTTGAAACATTGCACCACACTGTACCATAAAGATACATTAGCTAAAGCTGTCCTTAGAGAGGGGATCTTTGCACAATATTCCACTGAATAGTTAGATATATTCAAAATCTAATAGATTGACACAGATGAGAATAAAATAATTCCATTCACTACACTAATCTGAAGGCTATATAAAAGAAAAGTACCAAGATTGGTGTTTACAGAGCCATAGTGCTGTCTACTCTCTTGTATGGTTCCGAATCATGGGTCATCTACTGCCACCACCTGCGTCTCCTAGAACGCTTCCATCAATGCTGCCTCCCTACAATCCTAAACATCCACTGGTCCAATTTTGTGACCAATACATCTGTGCTAGAGCAAGCAGCAGTCACAAGTATAGAGGCCATGTTGATGAGAACACAGCTGCGATGGGCAGGGCACATCTCCAGGATGAAGGACCACCACCTCCCTAAGATCTTGCTTTATGGTGAACTTGCCACTGGCTGCCGCATGAGAGGAGCTCCGAAGAAAAGATACAAGGACTCCCTGAAACAACATCTCAGCCTTGGTCATATTGATCACCATAACTGGTCTACTCTGGCCTCCAATCAGGAGGCCTGGAGACACGCCATCTATAACGCAGCTGTCTCCTTTGAGAACACACGCAGGATCACTCTCAAGGAGAAAAGGCAACGCAGAAAGAACCGTGTCTTGCAGAATATACCATCTAAGGAGTCTTTCTGCTGTGCCTTTTGCAATTGGATATGTCTGTCTCGTATTGGCCTCATAAGCCACCAGCGTGCCTGTAACAAATGTGGATAGAGCCTTTCCAAATCTTTGTTCGCGAAGCCTAGCCATGATATTTATTGGTTATTACAGATGGAAAACAAATTCCAAGAAGTGTTGCTAAGAGAGAAACTCCTGTTTTATAAAGCATTGAAGATGAGTGAAGTAATTTGGAACTCTGGGAATAATGGTTTAAGGAATTAAATATTACAGATACTTGGTGATTTATAAACCTTTTAACACTCACGCATAAAAGTAGGTTCTAGAAAGTCAAGTAGAGACAATTGCAATTGTTTCTTTTGATATCTCTATTCTGTGGTAGAAATAGATAAAAAAGAAATGAAACCTTCCATTATATTTTCACTGCGTATCAGTAATTTAGGAACAGAAACAATATGAACTAAATGACAACAAATGTATTAGGTGAGTAGTTTTGTTGAAAGAGATATATTAGCACATAAAATAATCTCTTTTTACAGATTCAACGAACTCTGGAGACAACATGCACACTTTAATGAATGTACCACCTGGACCCAACTGACCTAACGTAAATATGAATCTAGTTATATATTTTTTTTAATTATGCAGCTTTGTTTTATCCAAACCACTACATTTCCATCAGTGTCCATTTTAGGTTTTCGAATGTTTTACAAATCAATCATGCCAGTAGATGCAAAATAATGATTGGGGCCTGTTTTTCAACACAGAAAAGACCTGAGAAGCATGTGCATGTGGATATTTGGGATGACTTAGTTTGTCATACTGCAGTGAAATAGATTTGTGTACCATATGACACCATCTTAGGAGCTGACACCAAGCATTAGTTTCTGCTAGCTTTAAAATTTTATTATAAAAAAGAGTCTGACTGAAGAGGGAAACGAAAACTGTTGAAAGTGGCCCAGCATTGTATTTCCCTGCTATTCTGTAAAAAAGGATAAACCAAATGCCTTTAAGAAGAAACAAACTTTCCTGTTTACCTAAATAAGGTGTCAAGTATGAAAGTGAATGATAACATTTAGGTATTTGCCTTGCAAACTACTGGACTAGAAAAAATCTCAACTGAAAAAAATCTGAATTCTTAGAATTGGTTTCTTTTGTGATCTCTACCTATGCCTTTCATCTAATTACAGTCCATACTGTGAGCCTTTTGAAAAGAGGACAATAAATCTTTAAGAATAAAGATATTTAGATATTGCTAAATCAGTATGCAGTGAATTTTAGAAAATAATCTACGATGCAAATCATAGAATGGTTTGAGATAAAAGGGACCTTGAAGATCATCTAGCTCAAATCCCTCTGCCATGGGCAGGGACACCTTCCACTAGACCAGGTGGCTCAGGGCCCCATCCAACCTGGCCTTGAACACTTCCAGGGAGGGGGCATCCACAACTTCTCTGGGCAACCTGTTCCAGCGCCTTGCCATCCTCACAGTAAAGAATCTCTTCTTAATATCTAATCTAAACCTACTCTCAGTTTGAAGCCATCCCCCCTTGTCCTGTCACTACATGCCCTTGTAAACAGTTCCTCTCTAGCTTTCTTGTAGGCTCCCTTCAGATACTGGAAGGCTGCAATTAGGTCTTCCCAGTCTTCTCTTCTCCAGGCTGAACAATTCCAATTCTCTCAGCCTTTCCTCACAGGAGAGGTGTTCCATCCCTCTAAGTATCTTCACGGCCCTCCTTTGGGCTAATGCCTTTAAGTTTTGAAGAACTGAATTTAAGGTTAATATCTTAAATCTGTAAGAAAATGATCATATTGCAAAGGTAATACAGAGTAGTCTGACTGTCAGTATAGATAGGGTATGTTTTGAAATCTGTTAATCACCTACTAATTGAAGTGAATAGCAAAATTATCTGTAACTTCAATGGGAGTAGAGTTAGGTCAGCACTTGCAGGTTTGAAACTCATGTACAAAGAATTAAAGTAGATTAGCCAGACCACAGAAATAAGTTTCTCAGAAAATGATGAACATAATAATGGAAAAAGTAAAAAAACACAATGACACTTTTTGCAATCACATGGAAGACTTTCACTTGACTCTCACATTCAGGAATGGGACTGTGCATTTTTCCTTTAACGTTTTTCTTCTAAGGAATATTTTTTTTATTAGATTTTCTTAAAAAATTGTGCAGCAATATTTTTTAATGTCTGATCCTTTTATAGTTTCCAGTGGGACCAGGAT